ATTATTTTTCCTCCTTTATAGTCTTTAGGGAAAGCTAGTCCCCCTTCCAGGTGTAAAGGTGGGCCCTAGAAAAACCACTCGGCAATCTTTCCTTTCATGGCCAGAAGCATTGGTCATAGGGGGTCAAGTGAGTTGCCTATCAGCAGGATTGTGTGGATAGCTGGCAAAGAAGTGATTTCCCACCAGTTGAAATGTAGCCCTCCCGTGAGGGTGCAGTAGCTTTAGACTGAGGGAGATATTCACAAGTCAGTGCAAGAAGAGAAATAAATTAAACCGCAGATAACATTATTAAACTGATGAATCCAACCAGAAATAAAGTGCCCAACCAATTCTGGACTTAGTCGCATGTTTCAGTACCAGTGAATTCCCATCCTTGTATCTGCCAGTTCAGATCAAGTTTTCTTTTTTCTTTTTCTTTTTCTTTTTTTTTTAAGTTTATTTATTTATTTTGAGAGAGAGAACATGAATGGGGGAGGTGCAGAGAGGGAGAAACAGAATCCCAAGCAGGCTCTGCACCTTCAATACAGAGCCTGGCATGGGACTTGAACTCACAAACCGTTGAGATCATGACCTGAGCTGAGATCAAGAGTCCGATGCTTAACCAACTGAACCACACAGGCGCCCCTGAGTTTTCTTTTAATTGCAGCCAAATATGTCTGATTCGCATATGGGTGTCATAAACCCCATTTTGCACAAGTAACCACTAAAGGGGTGACAGACATGCTCACAATTAAACAGAGTAATGGTACCACATTGAATCCACATGGGGTTCCAAGCAATATGGCCCCCTCGACTCTCAACAGCCATTTCTTTCTGCTCTTCCTCACCTACTCCAAAATATTGATTTCCACGGGCACAGCCATTGTGAGATAATGGCCAAAACAGCTGATTTTTTTTTCCTTAGTCTCATTTGAAATAGATGCACTAATAAGACTTGAGGACACTGTAAAATGTCTTGCTTCTTTTAGAATACGGACTAATGTCAACACTACAAAATTCACAGGTGTTAGCTGGAAGTGCCCCAGAAAGAAATGGATTGAAAATTTCACAGACATTTCTTGTTCCCTGTCGAACAACATGGATTTGTCAACTTTGGAAGCTTCTGTTCAGATAGTTATAGAGGAACACTCCTTGGGGATGGAAGAGAAATCTATTCTGAGCCACTTCATGTGTTTAAAGACCATTTCCTTTATAAGTAGCTGATCTGTAGAAGTATCTTGTCATGAACCCCTTAGGGTGAACATTCTATCTGCAGAAAAGGTATAGGATGAGTGCAGCTATCAATAAGAAATGCAAGATTCCTTTCAATTTTTTTCCTTTAAAATTTTTTTTAACATTTATTCATTTTTTTAAATTTTTTTTAACGTTTATTTATTTTTGAGACAGAGAGAGACAGAGCATGAACAGGGGAGGGGCAGAGAGGGAGAGGGAGACACAGAATCAGAAGCAGGCTCCAGGCTCTGAGCCATCAGCCCAGAGCCCGACACAGGGCTCGAACTCACGGACCGTGAGATCGTGACCCAAGCTGAAGTCGTACGCTTAACCGACTGAGCCACCCAGGCGCCCCAACATTTATTCATTTTTAAGAGTGAGAGAGACAGAGCATGAATAGGGGAGGGGCAGAGAGAGAGAGACACACACACACAGAATCCGAAGCAGGCTCCAAGCTCTGAGCTGTCAGCACAGAGCCCAACGTGGGGCTTGAACTCACGGACTGTGAAATCATGACCTGAGCTGAAGTTAGACGCTTAACCAACAGAGCCACCCAGGCGCCCCCAATTTTTTTCCTTTTAAATAATAACAATAAAATAAAATAAAATATTCTGAAAATCATGAAGTCTTGTACTTTAAAATTTTTATATAAAATCTTGTTTCCAAAACATATACGCTCTTCAACCTGGTGAAAAAGTGTACAGCAAACAATCATGTCAATAGATTTTAAAATTTTCACCAAATTTAATACCACCTGCATTTCAACATTTCTATACAACCAAAAGGACAAAATACAGTACCAGAAAGTACAAACAAATTGGACACTGAAATGTAATTAACACTAAATCATTGCTCATTACCTTGTGATAATATGCCATGACATTTGCTGCTGCTTTAATGAATCAAAAGGCCTCGGGGTCTGATTTTTATTAAATTTACATTGAGGTTATTATATCCATATTATGCAATGGTTGGCACTCAACTCCACATTTTCAGAGCCTGGCCAAGTTAGATATGAGAGATCTTCTTTCACATTAAAGCCACAAGAGCTTCCTCCCATTAATAGTCTTAAATTGTTGGAGTAAAAGGAGGTTAAAACTACCAATTAAGATCTCTTTCCTTGTACGTATTGTGCTATAACTGCAAAAGAAACACTTAGCTGCTTGGTGATTTGAAAGGACTGGTGCAAACACCTCAGTCATCTCCTCCAGCTAGCGCTTGTGCTCTTTTCCTAAAGCTCTGAAATTTCCAAGCTTCTGTTGCTAAGACATTACTTACAAGGGTATTTCATGCAGTCAGATCATTATTCGAATATGGGTCAGTTGCCTTAATCAAATACAGAAAGCATCCATTTAGACACAGATAAATGAGGGGCGCCTGGGTGGCTCAGTCGGTTAAGTGTCCAGCTTCAGCTCAGGTTATGATCTTGCGGTTTGTGAGTTTGAGCCCCATGTGGGGCTTTGTGCTGACAGCTCAGAGCCTGGAGCCTGCATCAGATTCTGTGTCTCCCTCTCTCTCTGCCCCTCCCCCGTTCATGCTCTGTCTCTCTCTGTCCCAAAAATAAATAAACATTAAAAAAAATTCAGACACAGAAAAATGAGGCATCTAATGACAAGTGCAAGTTACAGCCATGGGCATAACAAGAGCAACATGATAGGAACAGCCCATTCTTTTAGAAGAAGTAAGTTGGGGGGCGGGGCAGTCACTGAGTATAGAAAATTGGAAAACCAGCGAAAGCAACCAAAAACAGCAATTCTAAACAATCTCAGGGAAAAAAAAAAAAACATTCCTCCTCCAAAAAAAACCTTTTCTTGGTCTAAGTTCTAACAAATGCTGATGTTAGTATGAATTTTTAATAATGTATATGTAAGCTTCAAATAGCACATTTTATTACTCACCACTTAATAAATATTATATTCAAGAGGGAAGTTAATGCAGAGAACTCCAGATATACCTTTGGCTCCTGAACATGCAGACTTAAACATATGCGCTTAGTCTTAAAAGTAAGAATTCAGCTTCTCATTTCTCATTTTTACAATTATCGTGAAATCATTGTTTAACTCAAGACTACTGTTAGAAGACACAAATACACATTATCACAGGCCTGTGGATGCAAACTGCACCCAGGAGAGCTTGAGCAACAACAAACCTTTAGGAACTCTATGAGATTTTACCAAATAGAATAGTGATCTGTGATGGATTTTCCAGGCAAAATTTTTAGTGGATTTTTTTAATGATTGCAGAGATATCTAAAAGCTGTTAGAATTGATTCTGAAGAAAACACGTAGAAAGAATTGCAACTCCTGGAATTTATGGTAAATAAAATATTTTTTTGAATATCTACCAAACTTAATTTTTTTAAAGTTTATTTATTTTCAGAGAGAGGGGGAGAGAGAGAGTGGGGGAAGGGCAGAGGGAGAGGGAGAGAGAGAGAGAATCCCAAGTAGGTTCCACACCTACAGTGCTGAGCCCGACGCGGGGCTGGAAACCACGAACCATGAGATCATGACCTAAGCCGAAACCAAGAGTCAGACGCCCAGCCAACTAAGCGACAGAGGTGCCCCTCTATGAAGCTTATCTTTATGTTTAAAACCTTTCCTAAAATTTACATGTCTGTTGCTTGATGAGAAAAAAAAATTTTTTCATTTAAAATTAGTAAAAGTATTCTTTGATCAGTATAAGAGAAGATAGATGGACAAATCTGATTATACTGTTTTGAACATGCACATGTGAAGATAATCAGTTTTGATGAAGTCATCCACAAATTTGCAGAAATAAAGTCAAATGAACAGACATTTGAATATGACTCTTACCGGAACAAAGCAATACACAGGGATGTTTTCCCCCTTTTTATTTTAAAATTAGAAAATTTTCATGTACTACATTGTCTTTTCTTTTTTGTATTGGAAATTTTGATTGGCATGATAATATACAGGAGTTCAATATTAGCACATTTTGCCATTTGCATTTCTATTAGTTTCCATTTAGCTTTATGATCATTAATGAATACAACTTGTATATAGGAGATGGGATGTTAGAAAATGAGCCACGTCCTGGGGTAAAATTTAGGAGGTACAAGTGGTAGAGAAACAATGGGGATTCTGATTGGATAGTCACACACTCCTAATGGTGGGAAATAAATCAGGAAATCACTTTCAGAGCAAAAGTACAGTAAAAAAAAAGTAGACCCCAAATGTGAATAGAATGCACAATAAGAACACATTCAGCTTCCCATGGAAATTATATTGAAAAAGTTTTGGGGTGTGGAAGGTTAAAGTCAAAGGTGAGAAGTACCCCTGGACAGATAAAGGACAGATAATAGGTACCTATGGAAATTTGAGGACAACCCTATTTTGAAAATTTTTTAATGTTTATTTATTTTTGAGAGAGAGAGAGAGAGGCAGAGTGTGAGTGGGCAAGGGGTAGAGAGAGAGGGAGACACAGAATCCAAAGCAGGCTCCAGACTCTGAGCTGTCAGCACAAAGCCAGGGGTGGGGCTTGAACCTGGTGAATCCCGAGACCATGACCTGAGTGGAAGTAGGACGCTAAACCGACTGAGCCACCCAGGCGCCCCAAAGAATGCCCTATTTTGAAGAGAGAACAACTAAATACCGATAGGTAATAATGAAACAAAAAGCATTAGAAGGAACCAGAAATTCTCATGGCTATTTTTACAAATGTCCAGAGTTATTAATCTGATAGTATCCACATATACTAGTTGTTAGTGGTGAAGATAACACACGAACTTCTGTTGGCATTACATTAAATTCATAAATGAGGGCACTTACAGCTTATTTCAAGTCGGATGAAGTCTTTAATGCCAAGGTTTTCTAGGAAAACTCCCGATAAAGCCGTGGTTTTGAAAAAGAAGGAAATATCAGCACTGAACTCCGCATGGAAGGTGGGAAAGTGGAGGTAAGAGGCTTCTGTGTAAAATGATACCGCATTCCAGAAGTGCCCTGCAAATGAAAAAAATCCTTAAGCGTGATTCATTGTTTTGGAATGGGATAGAGAAAAGCAATGGGCATGTGAATAATTTTCAAGACTGAGGGACACTGCAGGGAAAAGGGATAAGGGAATAAAAACATCTTGTGCTTATGTAATGAAGAGAGAAAGCTTTTTTCCATTTAGTACTCACGGTCACCATAGCAACGCAAGGGACCAATTCTCCAAGCAGCTTCTGAGTTTGATCTGTTGGTATCAGTGATAACTATCTGAGTGACAGGCAAGTGGTCTTTGAAGGAAAGAAAGCCAGTATCATTTGTCCTGCAAAACATAAATTTAAGAAAAAAAGAGGAGAAAATGTGGATTATGTAGGGACTCCTTCTCCAAGACTCTTCTTTTCCGAGGTGATTTGGGTGGTTGTAGCAGCAGGGTGGGGGCAGGGATGGGGGAGACAGAAGGCTCTTCATCTCATAAGCATATGCAAAAGACTGGAATGCTAATTACAAAATCCTTGGCCAGCTTCCAAAAACCAGTGGCATTTACATTTTCCCTAAGTCTTTCCAGAAACACAGGTAATTTACAGAGCTTGCTGTGGCTTGCTGTAGCTAACAGCACCCCACCTGCACGATGCAGTGCTGATGTAACATCAAACATCGGCTCTCTTGCCACAAAGAGATTGGGTAGCTCAGTAACTGACTTGAAATAGGGGCCACAAATCCCACTTGAAATCACTCCAAGGACTTGTTTCAGCCTCCTGCCTCCAGATTCTGATCAGCTTGGGATGTTTCTTATCACCTTTTTAACTCTAGGTAAAAACAAGTCTCTAGAGTTACTGGTTTATTGCTTTTCATTGTGCTCTATGTTTTAAAGATGTTGGTAGTTAAGGGCTTGGGCTTTGTCTTTGTTAATTATGCAGCTGGAGAACTAACTAGTCACCCTGTGGCAAAAAAAAAAAAAAAAAAAAAAAAAAAAAAAAAAGTTAAAAATAAATGGATGAAGCTATTGTTTTTCCCTTTTTTAAAGCTGTGTTTTTTGACTCATGGTAAGGACAAACCATTTAATAACTGAGAGAATAAAAGTGTAGGTAAGAAACTGGCATTGAATGAATATTTTGAGCCAGAAACATACCAGCGGATATTTTTTTCCCAGACAGCACCCTTATGCAGTGGGTACCATTATTTTCCTTCACAGATGAGGAAACTGAGGCTCAGAGACATCAGATAACTTGCCTAAGTTCACAGGACACAAGGGGCAGAGGCTCAGTCACATGCTTGGTATCTACCCTGCATCTAAATTTAACAAGCGTGCCATAAATAGCCTGGTGTAAATTTAACATATATGTATACACATATATTTTAAGACTTTGAAGATGCCTGTATATTGTGTATTTCATCCTGACATGATAATTTGAAACTCATGACTAACAAAAGACTGAAATTTCTGAAAGACGGGGCAAAAAAAATACAAAATGTTTTATACCACAGCGAGTCTTGAGATAGTAACCAACATTCTTCAATAGCCTTTTTAAGCGTGCAAGGCAAACTCTGCGTTATGGTCTTGTTCCATTTTACTGATCTGAGCATCAGGTTCCCTGCTAGAAAAGATGATGGGGCATTTTTCATGTCCATGTTTCATCCATCAGGCATGCTACCAACTTAAAATGACAAGCCAAACTCAATCCTATGGGGGCAGTCTGAGAACCCCACAGAGTGGGCTGGACTCTCCACCTATACAACCTCAGTTAAGCACTGGATGGATCATCTTGCCTGTGCCTGGGAATTGGGAGACCCAGAACCGCGCACCAACATTCAAGGCAAAGTAACAACAACACAAAGAAGCAGATTCATACTGGTTGTCTCTCTGTAGTCACAAAGAGGTCAACAAAACACTCAAAACACACTCAAAACCAATGTTATATTTCATTAGCATTGTATAGCATGTACATCTCTGAGTTTAGAGACCAAGAAAACAGTATCCCAAATTCTTAACTGGGAAGCCTGGCAGCAGTAATGTGATGTAATGCTTCAAGGACATAGTTTTAGAAGCACACAGATTGGTTCTGGAAGCCCAAGTCCCCAGTTCCTAGCTGTTTTAACTTGGGCAAACCATTTTATTTCTTAGATTCCATGGAGTCCTCAATTTTAACATGGAGATAAAGTCTATACCACAGAGTTATTGAACAAATTAAATGAGATCATATAGTCACTTAGCATGGTGCCTGAGCTATGGGAACTGTTCAGAAATGGTGGTGATAATACTCATTTTAGTTCTTATCTTTGTCCCTGAACCCTCTGCAGCCTCAGACAAGTCAATCCATTTTTTCACACCTCCAGCTATGATTCTGTATTGAATATCGCCTACTATACAAAACACTACAGAAAATTAAATGTTAAGTTTTAGCATCCAACTCACGAGATTTGGAGAAAAACCTACCAATCCATCTTGGTTATAAATACATGAAATATTCACCTGCACACATACCCTTCAGGTCAAGTAGCCAAAAAGGTAAAGAAATGCACTAATCCATTTTCTACTATTTGAGTACCATATTTAGAGGCCATTCAAAGGGCCGGGCATAAGACTTTAGTTTATGTTTCAAAGGATTTCTATGAATGTTACAAAGACACAGAATAAAATTTGAGTCTTCATACTCCAATATCTTTTCAAGCAGAGAATTCAAAGCAAATTCCACATAGTCAAAGTAGAATACAGACAAACACATATGCAACCCTGAAGAAACCATTTTGCTTTAGGATTTTCTCTCCACTTTCATTTTCAGGGTGAAAATGTTTGATTCTGAAGCCTGTCAATCAATGCTAACTACCGCCTCCCTCACACACTTGACACCTTATCTGCCTCAATTTGATGTCCTGGGTTAAAGTGCTGTAATAAAGAAATAGCACTCTAAGGATAAAAATCACTTCCAAATAACAGAGAAAAAAGTTTGATGATGCAAGACACAATACCAAAAATGGGTTTTTTTTTTTTAATCTGACAACTAAAAAAAAAAAAAAAAAAAAAAAAAAGAAGTTGCTTTCCAAAGTTGTTGAATTATGATAGACACAGGGGCCAAATGAGTAATTCCCTACAAGGGCCAAATAAGTAATAAAAATGAGTGAAGCCAGTTTTGTGTTAGATAATACATGGAACCTGACACATACGTTCAAGCGAGAGAGGAAAACTGGTCGAAAACAGTTGTTCTGGCTAAAGGAGACAGTGAATCCATTAATAACAAGTAATAATGATATTCATGAATGTAAAACAAGTGGGTCAGACTGGAATATTAATGTAAAACTTCTCAATTTTTAAACCTTGACAAAGGATTTAAAATTCTATAAGAAAGAAAGAAGGAGAGAAAGAAAGAAAGAAAGAAAGAAAGAAAGAAAGAAAGAAAGAAAGAAAGAAAGAAAGTGACTGGGAGGGAGGAAGGAAGGAAGGATATGGTGGGAACCAACACTGCACTGGCCAATAAAATGCAGGTGAGGGTTGTGTGCAGACTATGAGCAATCTAGGTGTCAACAATATTTTGCGTATTTATTCATGCTCTTAATGTCACAGGGAGAAGAAAAGTGGATTTAATTCAATTTGTGAGTGATAGGTATGATTTCAAAGTATCAATGGGTAGGATACCTGGGGGCTTTGGTGGTGGATTTTAACCATACGATGATACCCAGTGATACAAATTAGGGTGGTGCCTAGTGATAAGTAGGGAGTCTAGAGCTATACATTTCTTTCCACACATTGACTTGTTTTCCTTTCTCTTTTGTTTGAACTTACCTTCTTAAGGGCACACATTTTATAGACTTTGTCTTCCTTTGGAACAATATGCGAGCCTATTCCTAAGGGTACAGGGCACTTAAGTACTTTATAAGTGCAGAAGCCATTGAGTTGTAGTGGAAAAGCACTGCCATTTTGACCAGACTGTTATGGGTTGAATCCATGTGTCTCAAGACACTAGTTATAAAATGTCAGTGAGGTCACTCTGGGCCTCAGTTTCCTTACCTCTAAAATGGGGATAATAATATCAATTTGTTTTTTTTTAATAATACCAATTTGATACTATATAAATGGAAGGAGATAACGTATATAAAACCACACACTAACACAAGGTGGGGATTCAATAATTATTAGAATTCCCTGTAAGTTTTCAAATTTTAAAAAAGTGAAATAAAAAGAATTTTTTAAAGAAAAATAACAAAGGGAGCTTCACGGTTGGCATGAATGAGCAGAAGGCAGTCAGTGACTCCAGCTTCTGGAGGCTGCAAGGGTACAAAGGACAGACATGTGGTCCTCAGGAAACACACAAGGGTCAGTGAAAGGACATGTAAGAGGAAATATGGTCTCCCCTTCCTTTTATTATCTGCATCTTGGGATTTTACCAAATTCAGAATTGCAGAGGCAAAAAGGGGCCACTGATTTCTTTAGTGAATCACTGGGGTAAAATATGGTGAAAAGTCACATGCTGTCATTTATTTTTTCATCAGCCAATTTTAGTTCACTTCTGCTGGGTAAGCTGCTTTTAGTAGAGTCATTTGGGTAACTCAACCTATCAAGAGAGATTTTTGTTTCCTTTTTACATTGTTATTGCTTTCAGTCACTCCAAAGAAAAATAAATAATAAATAAATAAATAAATAAATAAATAAATATCATTATGCATAAGGTAGAAAAATCTAGAAAATTATGCAAAAACTTAAGGCCCCAGCTAACTTTGAAGCCCTTGTGCATGAATCTGAGTGCATCAGTCTCAAGACCCTCAGCACACTCTTCCCTTGAGCTGGTGGCATAATGCCCTTCACCTTCCATGGTTGGGTGGGAAGAATGGCCAACTAAATGCCCATGAGCAAGTTTGCAAGTCTGAAGAACTGTATTGATGTTTGCCAGTAATTCCACCCTAACTTTGGTTAAGGCAATTATTTCCCTTTGGTCTTCGTTCTTAAGACTTTCTAATAAAAATTACATAGGGGATTAGACTGAAGGTTGGCTCTCACTTGGTTGTCAAAAAAGCGAATGCAAGCATCGACTGTGGCCACATATGCAAGTCCACACCAGGAGGCCATATCTATTCCCTTGTTCCCTATGCTGACCAGGACATGTCTGGAGGCTTGTTTTCCATTCCCAGCATAAGAAACATGAGGGGAAAAACAAGACAATTTTGCAAATATTTAAACATTTCAGAAACTATAGTTCTTCTAAAACATTCTAGAAACTTGAAACCAGAGTGCTCTTCTCAAATAGATGGGAGAAAACAAAACCAGGACTGGGTATATGAATACAGCCAAAGTCCACCCAATATTACCTTATTATTAGGAAATTTTCATGA